ATAAATTAAGAGGGCTTCACGGAGAAGACTTTAGTCAAGTCTCATTACTATCAGTAATCGATTTTGGCGATAAAGTCTATAGCGACTCACGTTTTTCGTTCTCCATTTTAAAAAAAAGGTCATGAAATGTATATAACAATATTCCTGAATACGTAGGAGGTATATCATTTTGAATTGTATTTAAGTTTATTGGTTTCAGCTTATATAGCATTTCCAAGTCAATTTCAACCTTTTCCAAATCAAATTAAACTTTTTCCAAGTCAAATTCAACCTTTTCCATTTCAAATTAAACCTTTTCCATTTCAAATTCAACCTTTTTTTATTTATTTAATTATCTTTAATTTTTCGATGCGTGGGTCTGTTATCGTATGAGTAGTTTTTTAAAATAACCTCCTTTTTAAGATTACGTGACTGCGTTTCGAATTATTTAAGTTTTTTTGACTTATTCGATATAAGGGTGTATTTTTATGTTTCCCGATCAGTAAATTTTTAAAATGACATCTATTTTATGTTTACGCCACTGTGTTTTGATTTATTTAAGTTTTTAGAATTTATCCAATATAAAGGTCTACTTTTTTGTTTCCGGAGACGTAGATTTTGAAAACGACCTCCATTTTAAGATTAGGCCACCGCGTTTCGACTTATTTGAGTTTTTCGGATATTTTTCATATGAGGGTGTATTTTTATGTATCCGGAGCTGTAGATTTTGAAAATGACCTCCATTTTAAGATTAGGCCACCGCGTTTCGACTTATTTGAGTTTTTCGGATATTTTTCATATGAGGGTGTATTTTTATGTATCCAGAGCTGTAGATTTTGAAAATGACCTCCATTTTAAGATTAGGCCACCGCGTTTCGACTTATTTGAGTTTTTCGGATATTTTTCATATGAGGGTGTATTTTTATGTTTCCGGAGCTGTAGATTTTGAAAATGACCTCCATTTTATGATTACGCCACTGCGTTTTGACTTATTTAAGTTTTTCGAATTTATCCAATATTAAGGTCTACTTTTATGTTTCTTGAGCCGTAGATTTTGAAAATGACATCCATTTAATGATGACGCCATTGCATTTTGACTTATTTAAGTTTTTCGAATTTATCCAATTTAAAGGTCTACTTTTATGTTTTCGGAACCGTAGATTCTGAAAATGACCTCTATTTTATGATTACGCAACTGCGTTTCAACTTATTTAAATTTTTAGAATTTAACAAGTATAAAGGTCTAATTTTATGTTTCTGGAGCAGTAGATTTCCCCCATTTTGTAAATGACCCAATTTAAAGTTTATGCCACTGTTTTGGATTATAAAAGTTTTTTTTTTACTTTTTCGGTATAAGGATCTACTTATATGTTATCCGAGACGTATTGAAATTTTTCTAATCTTTAATATTTAAATTTATCTAATATTTAAGCTCCATTTTATGATTAAGCCGCTGCATCTTGATTAATTAGGCTTCATTTTGGATTTTTTCAATACAAAGTTTCATCAATATGTTTTCGAGTATGAATAAATAAATAAATATTATGAAGCTAAAGTAAAATTAACCACAGAATACAAACTAAAAAGCCGAAAAGCAACTGGTAATAAATTTAACCTTCCGTATTCAGATTTTTCAGCTAATTGTTCGAAATCTTATAATTTTGTGATAGGAGACCACAAAATTAAAAAAGATAACTAAAATTAAATTAAAAATGAGACAATACATATTTTATTTATTTTGATTAGATATTTTTATTTATTTATTGAAAAATAAATTAATCCTTCGTATTATGTTTTTTATTCGAAGGAAAAAGCAAAAACACTTAACAAAACCGAAACACAGTGGCCTAATCTTAAAATGTAAGTCGTTTTAAAAACTAAGGCTCCGGCATCATAAAAGTAGACCTTTAAATTGGATAAATTCGAAAAACTTGAATAAGCCGAAACGCAGTGGCGTAATCTTAAAATGGAGGTCATTTTCAAAATCTACGACTCCGGAAACATAAGAATACACTCTTTTATGATAAAAATTCGAAACACTTAAAGAAATCGAAATGCGGTGGCCTAATCTTAAAATGGAGGTCGTTTTCAAAATCTACGGCTCCGGAAACATAAGAATACATCCTCATATGAAAAAAATCCGAAAAACTCAAAGAAATTGAAATGCGGTGGCCTAATCTTAAAATGGAGGTCGTTTTCAAAATCTACGGCTCCGGAAACATAAGAATACATCCTCATATGAAAAAAATCCGAAAAACTCAAATAAGTCGAAACGCGGTGGCCTAATCTTAAAATGGAGGTCATTTTCAAAATCTACAGCTCCGGAAACATAAAAATACACCCTCATATGAAAAATATCCGAAAAACTCAAATAAGTCGAAACGCGGTGGCCTAATCTTAAAATGAAGGTCGTTTTCAAAATCTACGGCTCCGGAAACATAAAAGTAGACCTTTATATTGGATAAATTCTAAAAACTTAAATAAGTCAAAACACAGTGGCGTAAACATAAAATGGATGTCATTTTCAAAATTTACTGATCGGGAAACATAAAAATACACCCACATATCGAATTTGTCAAAAAAACTTAAATGATTCGAAACGCAGTCACGTAATCTTAAAATGGAGGTTATTTTCAAAGCTAGGTACAGGACAGCATAATACTAGTCCCTAAGAAATCCGAATAGGTACAATAAATCGATATCCGTAAGTGAAAATTCTACTTAGGAGAGCATAATAATAGACTTTCATATTGGAGGGAGGGAGGGGATGGCAATTATTTAAAAAAAAAATATAAAATTTACAAAAACTTAAAACATTAATTTGAAATGAAAACGGTTGAATTTGAATTGGAAAAGGTTTAATTTGAAATGGAAATGGTTGAATTGACTTGGAAAAAGTTTAATTTGATTTGGAAAAGGTTGAATTTGACTTGGAAAAGGTTGAATTTGACTTGGAAATAATTGAATATCACATAGAAATATCACACTGAAAAAATCTAAAATGTTAAAATAAATGGATATGCAACTGCGTAATCAATTTTTTTTTGTATTTTTTAAAAGCTATGCCGTCGATAATATAGTAAGTGGCCTTCATTTCGAAAAAAATCGAAAATTGACAAAAATTCTAAAGTTGAATTTGAAATGGAAAAGGTTGAATTTGACTTAGAAAAGGTTGAATTTGAAATGGAAAAGGTTTAATTTGACTTGGAAAAGGTTGAATTTGATTTGGAAAAGGTTGAAATTGACTTGGAAATGCTATATATGTGCGAAAGTCATCCTTTCTACTAATGGTAGAAAAAGTTATTATTTGTATATTAATACTCCCCGAATAAATTTAATTTTCTATTCGTTCATCAAGATTTTTAATTTAGGCTAAGACCTATTAAATATATTTTGAGTCTTCTAAATATATTTTTTTTAATCTTACTGGTTCATTATTTTAATTTTATTCTAACATTACAATTTAATATTTCAAAACATATATATTCCTTGGAACGTTTAATATGTTTGTATATTTATTTCAATTTGCTGAACGGGGTGAATATTTGTTCTGAGAGCTGACCGCCTCACCACAAATACAAATAAAGGACCTATCTATCTATTCAAATATTTGTTCAATTTACTGTTCATAGAATGTCAATAGGCGTTTGGGATTTGTCATTTTTCCTAATATTCAATCATTTAAACAAAAACTGTATATCGAGTATATTTTTGTTTAAGATAAATAATTTAGTTTTTTTAATTATTTTTTTTTATTAATTTCAACAGTTTTTACAATGCAAAAAAGATTAAATAAATCAAATGGCACATATATTTGGATATGCCAAAAATATTTTCATTTAGATTACATTATTTTTGTTTCACTCAGGAGTAAATCCATCAAATTACTTAATGATTTAATGTTACTTAACGGTTTTTGCAATAAACCGGCGATGTTACTATTATACGATATTAACAAAAACCCTTTTCGCTTCATTATTTTTTACACTTTATAATTTTACTTATTTTACAATGTAAATTGAAAATGAACAAAATGTGGGTCATGATAAAGAACATTCCTATTGAGTTATCTTTAGAGACTGTTTGAGCAGATCTCTCATCCACTTCCTCTTCAATCTCCTTTTCGTTTTCTTAGAAATAGGGTAAAGTGACCAATTATTGACACTTTAACGAAATGTTTCAAGTAATTTACCTTATTTTTTTTTATTAATTAACCTAACTGTATATTTCCAAGTTTTTCACACCAGTCCAAGTCTGTTCTACAGATTCTGCTTATCAGTGTTGCCGCACGCTCTGTGACAAATCCTCGTACTTCAAACCTCGCACATCCTCGTACGCTTGCTCATTGAAAATTCTTACTATTATAGGCCCAATGTTATTGTTTTTTTTTAAAGTAAAATTAGATAAGAGCTTCGCATAGTACCTCCATTCATATATTTTAAAGCCTTATTATAATTTTTTTTTAAGTTAATGGATCAAGAAGTAAAGTGAGTTTAATTAAGCGCACGAAATTAAATATATTAGAAAGAGCCTATATTTTTAGAAACTATTATAAACTTTCTATAAAAATTAAATTAGAACAATAATTTTTTTCCCTATAATTATTAAAAATAAATGGAAAACACATTATTATGATTTCATTAAAGTTCAAAACTATGTAAATATAATTGCATCACAGAGGCCTCAAGTTGATGAACTAAGACATGTATTCAATGACAGTACTACAATTAACGTATGGTTGTGTGGATGCGAACCATATACCTTGCGTTATCTCGAAAATAGTACGATTTTGGGCTTAAAAACGCAGGACCCGATCTTGTTCATGCTGTACGTATCTAAATCTTCAAAGCACAGTTTGCCCCGTATCGATCTATAGACTTACAACAGTTCCAGTTTTGAAGCCTAACAAAATGTTTGTATCAAGTTTATTTATTTTAGAAAGAAAAAGTTGGTTCCCCATTCATGGTATTTGAGCATGACAGGTTCTTATATTTGGTACAAAACCGATTTCGAGCCTTACTGTAATAATTTATGTGGATATAATAGTATATTTGAATTACATGAAATAAAGAACTATAATTGTTTCAGCGAAGTTTATTACTTGGATACAGAAGGCTCAATATTTTAGTATTAAATACGATGTAAAAGGAGACACTAATATTGGATCCTTTGATCAGGCTTGAAACCAACAATCAAGATCAAGACTTCAAGGTGAATGCAGGGAAAGAGGAAATTTATAAGAAATGCTGGGAAACGTTTCAGTCGAAGAACTATGTTTCGGAAGTAGAGTATCCTACTTTTTATTATAATTAATCTCTCATGGACCATGGCAGAAACTGTCCATTGTCGAAGCGTCTTAAACGTGAATTATTTTTATCGTGTTAAAGTCTTTGCGTGCCAGTAATGCGTTTATTTATTTAACTACAGGCACCTTAATCATAAATCATAAAAATTCTTTTATGTTTGGTATTACTAAATCAAGTTCATGCACGCAGCTCATTCGTCTGTGATACTGCCGACCAGATTGAATTGCAAATGTAGTTGAGCTCGATGCCGGAGGCGGTAAAAGATATGAGTGGATTCCAGAGGACATTGCTAAGATTCCAAAGAAGTAGCAGAGATTTCCAGCCCGGAGGACCCCAAGATCGATCCCAGCTCTCTGGAGCCGTCCTGTCTCGGCGCCTTCCAGCGGCCACAACAACACAGTTCCGACCATTAGTATAGTCGTCCCTCCCAGAAATAATTGCTATCACTCAGCGACTTCCAGTTGGAAGGAGGTCGGATCACCTTCTCTTCTCTCAAGATCTACAGTTAATAGTCGATTTAGATAGATAGAAAATAAACTCTAATCCGAAACGAGTTCCTTTAAGAATAATAGGTATGAAAAAAAAAAAAATAAGATGTGTGCTTCAGATCACACGATAGAAGTGATTGCATTATATAAGCCAGTTTATGTTTATACTTTTTCGAACATTTTTTCGAAGGGGCGCTATTTATAAGCTCGTAGCAGATTGTGTTCATTGTTATCATTAACTAACGTTTTATTAAAAATTGACTTACGTCGATGGACTTACTTATTTGAAAGTATAAAATTCCTTAATAAATAGAAAAAAACTAATCTATCAAAGGACTCACTAAAAAAAAATGTTATTGGAGTCAAGTGAAAAATATTTCTCTTTTTATGACTCTCCGCGCAACGTGATAAGAATGGCAAACCGATTTTCAATTCATAGTGACTTCAAGAGAACTCCATTTCAACTTTAAACCATTTTCCTAAACTATAAAACGAAACATATGTATATGTGTTGCTTGCTGATGGTATTTTATGATAGAAAGGCTAATATTGGTTTTATATTAATACTGAATATTAATTGAAATTAAAAAAACTAAGGTGTGTACTTCACACTACATGATAGAACTGAAAGCATCAACAAGACGAGATTAATAATATGAAATATAAATTATGAATAATACCCATTATAAATAGGATAAAATACTGAACATTTCCCTCAGTTACAGCATACAGGTCCGATTTTAGTTTCTGAGATATTTTAATCTATATCACTAAACTCGATATCATTTGGTTTTCGACACAATTTTTCTTTTTCGACTCTCTAACACGGCGTCGCGTTAAGCTACAATTATGAAAATAAGCCCATTGCAAAGAGGATGGAATGAAATTCTCTCGCTAACAACATGCTGGTCCGATATATAATTTTCGAGATATTTAATCCATATGCAAAAATACTTCAATTAGTTGGCATTTGAAGGTCTTTGTGTAAAGTAATGTTCGTGACGTACCATGGAGCTTTAGTTATGGTCCTGAAAGTTTTTGACTGAAAAGTTTGTAGTTTTCGTATGTGGGTCCTTTTGGCTGTCTCGTAAATTTGTGAAGTGTGTTTAGTTTTTGTTTTAGGTTTAATTTTGAACGTCTTGAGAGAAGTGAGTATAACAGTTGTAGTCTAAGGTTTAATGTTTAATTTTAAGGTTTAATTTCGGCATTGTCAAGGTAAGTAGGAGGGTGTGTTACATGTCGAAGATTGAAAGTGATGTTTTGTGGTTTGTCATGGTTGAATAATGTATTATAAATTACGAAAAAACAAAGACACTTACAGCAGAACAAGAATTTTTTGTTATGAAAAAGCAAGATTCATTTTTAGTGTTCATTGGAATTATTAAATACTATTTTTTTTTACAGAAATAGGTTCTTCACTAATTGCTTTGAAATTTCGATACAAGTTGCTATCAAATTCAGAATTTGAATTCGTACCGCAAAAACAGCTGTGACGATCTTAATGAAAATTGGCTAGTCTTCTCTTTACAGTCACTTTAATTTATTTTGATAACTTACCTCCTTAAAAAGAGGCTGAAAAAAATAACAACGATGGTTTCAGAATTTTATTTGTGAATATCTCAAAAATTACACAATTATTGGTTCATTGAACCATGAGTGTTTGAAAGTTTCCTGAATCCCCCCCACCCAAAAAAAAGAATCGTACATATCATTGAAACGCCGTTGAAAACTCGAATTAAAAAATGTCCGCGACTGCAGTACTTTTTCTTACTATATATTTCGTAGGTAAGTGACAGTAACTAGGTATGTGATGACAGTAAGTAGTATGGTAGTAAATGATGGTAGAAGACAGTAACTAGGGTGGTAGAGCAGAACTGCATTTTTGGTAGGCTATTAATTGTAGGAGTGCAATACCTTGCATTGTGGGATACCTTGTATTTTGATGAATGGTTGTAATATATAGATTTTTTAGTAAAATTTAAATAAAACTTGTTTTATAAACGAAGAATTTTTCAATGATCTAACACTGATGATTTAAATACGATAAATATTACTTCAAATTTATTATTATTTATAATTTAATATTTACATTTTTTAAAATAGTTTTTGTCTAGTAAATGTGTCTTGTGGTTGTTTTCCCTGTGGTTAAACGAGTAAGTTAGAGTAGTATAGAGAGCTGATTGCGTTACAGTCAAGTTAATATGTTGGGTGTTGGGAACATCCAAACTGTCTTCAACTATTGCACACTGCCTCCCAACAGTTACCACCTAAATTCTCAACTGCCTTAATAATGGTCGACTTTGAAATTGATTTAGAAGCAATTTGTTGTAAATTAGTTATCCTGTCTCAGTATTAATCATTTTAAGTTATGATTATTTTTCAAAGTATAATTTACAGTATTTGCTTTCCAATTCTTTCTGTTTTATAGGTTATTTAAACGAATCGACAACTGAAATAAAATGAAATGAAACAATAATAATTTTATTTTGGGACTACACTCCCCTAAGAATAATAACAGAGTTACAGATTTGTGGGTCTCAGTCTGGGTTAAAATAATAAAAATACAAATTAATAACTGATTGTTATTGCAATTGTGCAGTAGATTGAAATTAAACAGTGTACAGATGCAAGTAATTTTACATTCACTTAAAAAAAATGGACTTAGTTGTAAATAAGTTTAATCTTTTTGTGAATAAAGTACTAAAAAATTGTCGATTTAAGGGTATGTCATCGAAATACGAAAACGACCTGAGTTGGCAAGATGTAAATGGAACTACAGAGTGAGTCGTAGCATATTTACATAAAGAATAGGATCTCGAAGGGGTTTCGCTTCCACGTTAACTTGCCCCGCAGCAATCCACTCACCTCGCAGTCTCGTAGCCTAGCAATCATCCGTCGGTACTTCAGTTCGATGGCAATTTTCCCCAACCTTTAGAGAGACGAGGGTAGTTAGTGAGGGAATGTTCTTAAATCGTTGGCTTCGTTTGGAACTATTGTCAGCAGGGTCCTGATTGTACCAAGGTCTTCTTGAAAGAAGTTTACAGCTGAAGTAGAGCTATAAGTTCAATACAGAAACAGTATAGAATTTCATTTTTGGTTATCATTACTGTATAAAATATTAGTCTGTGATACAGACCCCTTTTTATCATATTACTGACATCTGCCTAAAAATTTTTAAATGGCTTCTTCTTATCGTAATCTACAAATTGTTTATATAAGAATATTATCAAAATAGAGCGTTTTCTGATTAAAATAATTAATTTAATTAGTTACTAAAACTCATAAAAACCCTAAAAAACAATGAACACTCATTTGCTTTCTCCTTGAATAGTAAAATAATTAGATCGAAAAATCGACAATTATATTGTGGCGTTTGTCCTATATAACCTCCTTTTTTCGACATGTTGGGGTGGAGGTCACGTCGAGCAGCCCAATATTTTTGTAGGCCGTTTTTATTCTTGATGTTGTGATCAAATTATTTTACGATTCAAGTGGAATGCAAGTAGCGTTTTAGTACTTCATTAATAGACAATGATTATCGATCTTCAAATTAAAAACGCCCCACTTCTGAGAATTTTCTTAGATACAAGATCTGTAGATTACAATAAGATGAAGTTAATAATTTGATGAAAAAGGGATCTGTACCTCGGACTAAATGATTGAACAGAATTAGGGTATTTTCAATCTGGAGATCAGAAAACTTTGTTTATTTAATTAGCTACTAAAAACACACGAATACACAGTTGCTTTCCACTTGAATCGTAAGATCACTAAATTAAAAAAAAAATTGTCTACAAAAATGTTGGGCCGTTGGGCCAATTAACCTCATTATCTTGACGTTTGGGAGACAGAGTTCACTCCAAACGGTCCAATAATAATTTGAAAAAAAGGATTCTGCACTACGGATTATTCATTGTATAATCATTTCAGATACAATATTGTTCATATAATTTATTTTTTATATTTGTAGTTATTAATTTTTCGATTTCTATTTCATTCAATCTAAGCTCTCGTTTATACAACTCTGTAGTTTCCTATTCGTGCAATAACTTATTTGGGCGACAAAATCGTTGCCTTTTTGGAATACCTCTCAGTATTCTTGCAGGCTATATTTTAGCAGAACTTCTATGGCAAACAGTTGCAGCTAATAAAATTTAATGGAAGGGGTGGTAATAATTCTAGGTGTCAAACATGGCAACACTAAGTGATTGATACAACTTGATAACAAATTGAAGATAATTGTAACGTATAATTACCAGGATAATGATTCCTGAACTGACACTTCAGAAAATAAATTGCTAGCTTGATCCAAACTAATAGATGCATTTATCTCCTTCTGGGAAGGCTTAAAATCAAACCTCTCCAAGACTGATTAGCTTGGATGTATGCTTGATAAACTAAACTCGAACTTCTATTGTACTGTAAGTATTTCGAACGACTTAAAATTATGACTTTTTCTCCGCTAGATTTCATTTGTATCATTTTGGTTTATTATTTTCAATAATCAACCTTAGTAATCGATCTAGAAAAAAAAAGTTGAACCTCTCGAAATTTGACGTTTTATCTTTCAAGATACGTAGAATCCGAATATTTCTTCAATTGTTTTGACATTTGTTATCAATTTCAATGGCCGAGAATCATCCTCTTTATGTATACATAAATTATAAATCTTTCAAGGGGAAGACTTTAGCAAAGTTTCATTAAAATCGTTAAAGCCGTATTGGCGCAAATGTCCTAAAGCAAATCAGGTTTTTCGGCCGCCGTTTCGAAAGGAAAGGTCTGATGATAATGAAACGTATACAAAATCACTCCTAAATATTATTTCGACGTTGTGTCGAAATTTCAAAGAAATCGGTAAAGAACTTTCGGAGATTAGCTGAACAAACTGCCATTTATATTTGTATTTATTGATAACACAAAAGCTCGTTAATAGCTATTAAACAAAAAAAGAAGGAAGAAAATCGGTTGAATAATATATGAGAAAAAGGGACTGAACCGTTTTGTGTTGGCATATTTATATGATT